AAAAAGTATAAGTCTACTATCCAATCTCATACCATGTAACGTTTTATGCTTGCTGGTTGGTTAATTTCGTTTTTCTGTCATACTTGATTTGTATCATCCGTGTAAGAAACGTTTTGCGTTCGTTAGAGTGGGGGTGTAGGTGAGTGGTGTGGATGTGGGTGTAGGTGGATGGTGTGGATGTGGGTGGGTGGTGTGAATGTGGGTGTGGGTGTGTGGGTGGAGAGAGAAACTACCCTCACACCCACACCTACACCCTCACACCCACACCTACACCCTCACATCCACACCTACACCCTCACATCCACACCTACACCCTCACACCCACACCTACACCCTCACACCCACACCTACACTCTCACACCCACACCTACACCCTCACACTCACACCTATACCCTCATACCCACACCTACACCCTCACACCCACACCTATACCATCACATCCACACCTACACCTACACCTATACCCTCACACCCACACCTACACCTAAACCCTCACACCCACACCCACACCTACACCCTCACACCCACACCCACACCTACACCCTCACACCCACACCTACACCTACATCCTCACACCCACACCTACACCTACATCCTCACACCCACACCCACACCTACACCCACACCCACCCACACCCACACCCACACCCTTCAGATGTTTTCAATGAAATATCCATTTCATGGTTTTATATTATGTCCGAAACTCGTTGATGATTTTCTTAATTAAATGACAAATGTGATTTCAATTGACCAAAGCGAACTTTTTCACAAAACAATTCAAATCATCAAAAAAAACTTCGTCTACTTCTTGACGTTTTTGCCACATAATGTTTGGAATTTAAACAAAAATCACTCAAAGAAATATCAATGATTTTTCGACGGTATATTACTTCAAATTTTTATTGAAATTAATTAAAAGCTAAAAAATAATCTTTTATTTTGATCAAATGATTTGAATCATTATTTTTAAAAAATCTTATTTCTTTTGAGCATTCCACTGTCACATCAAATTTCAGTTGCTTATTAGCTCACAATTGTCCTTGAATTATGCGAGACTTATTACAAAAAAAAACAAAGCATTAGATGCTCTATCAAAAATATAACTGATTGAAATCTTATTTCTTCATCTAATGACAACATTGTTTGACAGATACGTGTATGTTTTTGTGTAGAGTGACCCAAAATTGAATCTAGGTCTACCAGTGATAGAGTTGGTGGCATGCTGACTAAATGAAAATAGGAAGAATTCATCTAGTAACATACTGATGAAAAAACATTTTCTCTTATCAGTTTCATTTCAGAAAAAAACAACAGGACTTTTAGCAAAAAAGGCGATTCTGTTCTCTTTTTAGTGTGATGTTTTGAACATTGTCTGTTCTATAACTCTTTAGTAAGGTTTTTTGATTTACCTCAATATTTCTCTAGTAAATATAGAATAATAAACTTTTTTAAGTGGCAAAAATTTTAGGCATTTCATTAGAGATTTACGCTATAATACAAAATGTTGAGAAAGGCTATTTTCATAGATAATTCGACCTGAATTAACTCAAAAGAATTTTTTTCAAATAAAATTAAACTGTTCAGAATAAGGCGAGCTAATCTCTAGGTCATATGATTTTATTGGCCACTTATTGTTCTTGTCATATTGTTAAAATATGGCTCGAGTCTTTTCTATATGTCGAGGAACTTTTGTTGTTTATTGCAAGCATAGAGTATTATAAAACACAGTACGCAGAAATTATTTTATTCTACTATCATTTTTTCGCACTAATTGGATCAAAAAATTACAATTCATTGATATTTGCCTTTCTAAATATGATGTGTTTGTATGCATCATTCTAGCAAACTACATCGATTTTATCAATTTAAAATTTTGAATAAAATAAAGGATAAGAGGATTTTCTACAAAATGATTTAACAACTGAGAAACTCATAGAAGTCTTTCACACCTGACTAAATTCATTTTGTACGTCTCTAAATCAAGGAATTATGAATATGTCATGATCGCTCCTACCAAAATTCTCATTATTGGTTGAGTTACCTTCCAGAAAACTTTTCATCAAGATATTATTTTGTCAAGCGATCTTCATAATCTTTTTTTTCTTCAGAAAATCTATAATAACTTTTCTCTTCTATCCTGAATATGCTTTAATGCATTGAAAATTGTTGAACATTTATTATTAGTCCTTTCACAGATTCACTCACAAAATTCTGATTCTTAGTCGACTCTATAAAATTTCGACTGATCCTTTTCGTCGATCGAAAACAGAAAGCAAGACTTTGTTTTGAAAACTTTCGGTTTACAACTTATAACTAAACAATGCGCTATTCTAACTACGACAAGAGTGAAGGTATATTTACAGTCATAACCTCACCGACATCCACAATTAAGTGAGATGCGTATCTCTCATAGTACAGTACAATAGAGAGTGGATCAAAAGTCATTTTATCGAGAAGAAAGGCTTAAGTATCTCCGCGATACTTTGATCAGATGAACTGATTTTTGCACTGCTTATAAAGGAGTACTCATAGTGGAAATTCATATGAAAAACGCTGAAAAATGCTTCCTTAAAATATTACTATTAACATAAATATATATCTGACGTCTTTGATGAATTATGAAAAAATAAATAACTTTTTTGTAAATCATTCACTGAATATATCTAGTTATTAATAATTAGAACTTTCCGGAAACATTAAGTAAGAAAACATATATCTCTGGCAGAAATTTAGGACCATATGATAATTGATTGAAGCATTGATTGGAAATATCGTTTGTTCTTTATTTGTGATCATATGGTTCAGAGTATTTTCTCATAACTCATCAAAGACTTCAGATTTATATTCATGTTGATAGTAATATTTTAAAGCAGTGTTTTCTAACATTTTTCGTAGGAATGTCAATTATGAGTACTCCCTTATTAGTAGTGTAAAAATCAGTCCATTTGGTCAAATTATGACAGAGATACTCAAGCTTTTCTTCTCAGTAAAGTGACTTTTGATTTACTCTGAATGTACAACTTTCTTTATTTGAACCACTTGTTAACTAACAGCAACCAGTTTCTCGTTTCTCCCTTCATACGATCAAAATATCCATCAAGAGGTGAATGAAAGCAATCGAACTAATGATATCTTTGTTTCTTTTTTCGTTCTTGTCAGAAAAAAACGATTCACACCGAAAAATAAAAAAAATATATATGATGTATGAGGCAAGGTATCCAACGTAATGTGACTTGAGTCATAATACAGGTGAAAATCAAACAAATGTTGAAAAGAATAATGATGCAACCAATGATGTTGTTCGATGTTTTTTCTTTTTCGTTCTTTTCTTCGTCAATGAAACTTTCTCTTTAAACTCAATGAAGTGCGTCGTTGAGTGTTAACGACAAACACTCACATTTTATATCGTAGAAAAAACAGAAGGCAGCTACTGTATAGATAGAAAAACTGATCTCTGTTTCAACGATAAACAATTATCTACCATTTTCGATTGACTTATAAACGACAGTTCACAGTAAATATAAGTGAACAAAAATCAAAAAAAAATATTTTTAAATCAACAATGGGCACCAATGCAAACACAACAGATCCATCGACTACCATGCGATCAGCACGGCACATCACTCAAAATTATTTGATCATTTGGATCGATGGAAACATTGATCTAGCAAATAAAGATTACCAAAATACACTCGAACAACTAAAAAACATAACCAATGATATCTATACCTTTACACAACGCGATGAATGTATTGACTTCCTCACTGAAGTCGATGATCAAAAGGCATTTCTCATTGTATCGGATACTATGGACCAACAAATGGTACCCCTTATCCATGATATTCCTCAACTCGATAGCATTTACATTGATTGCAGTAGCAAAACTTCACAAGAAGATTGGAGCAGCCATTGGAACAAAGTTAAGGGTGCATACACAGAAATCCCGCCCATCTGTGAAGCATTGCAAATGGCTGTTAAGCAATGCAATAAAGATGATATATCCGTAAGCATTATCAATGTAAATGGAGAAGATTCCAGCAAAGATCTCAATCATCTTGAACCTTCCTTTATGTACTCCAGAATATTCAAGGAAATTCTCCTTGATATGAAACATGATGAACAAGCCAAGAAGGATTTTATTCAGTTTTGGCGAAACGAATACAGCAATAACAAAGCAAAAGCGAAGGATATCAGTGAGTTCGAACTTCAATATAGTCATCAATCAGCAATTTGGTGGTACACTCGTGAGTGTTTTCTTTATGAGATGCTCAACTCGGCTCTTCGAATGCTGGATGGCGAGACAATTATAAAAATGGGTTTTTTTCTTGCTGATCTACACCGACAAATCGACAGTTTACACAAACAACAGGTCGGTCTTTATCATGGGAAGATCTTTCAAGTTTTTCGGGGACAAGGATTATCGATAGTCGACTTCGATAGACTCGAGAAGAACCAAGGTGGACTTATTTCCTTCAATAATTTTTTATCCACCAGCACAGATCCAGCTGTCTCTCTCAGTTTTGCCAAAGGTGTCATAGGAAAACCGGGTATGGTGGGTATCCTTTTTCAAATGTCCATAGATCCAACCATCGTATCAACTCCATTTACCTCTATCCGCGGACTGAGTTATTTTGCTGAAGAAAATGAAATCCTTTTCTCCATGCACACCGTTTTTCGAATTGGCGAAATTCGACAACTTGACAATGAAAATTCACTGTATCAAGCAGACCTTACACTGACGTCAGATGAAGACCAACAACTACGTCAACTCACAGAAAGTATACTGGAAGAAGCTTCACATGAGACATGTTGGGAACGATTGGGTACATTGCTATTAAAAATAGGTCAATATTACAAGGCTGAGAAATTGTATAACACACTACTCGAACAAACATCCACCGATGGTGCTAGAGCTACAATTTACAACAATCTTGCAATACTGAAAGCCCATCAAGGACTATACAAAGAAGCAGCATCATTTTACCAAAAATCCCTCGAGATGAGGCTAAAAACTCTTCCAGCAGATCATTCCAGTTTGGCTCAATCCTACAACAACATCGGTGGAGTGCATCAAAACTTAGGTAACTACTCGAAAGCACTTGATTTTTACGAAAAAGCACTTAAAATCAACGAAAAAGCTCCGCCTTCAAATCATCCCTTATTGGGTACTTCCTACAACAACATCGGTGGAGTGTATAAAGACATGGGTAACTACTCGAAAGCACTTGAATTTTACGAAAAAACACTTAAAATCTTGGAAAATGTTCTGCCTCAGAATCATCCCTTATTGGCTACTGCCTACGACAACATCGGTGGAGTGTATTACAACACGGGTAACTACTCGAAAGCACTTGAATTTTCCGAAAAAGCACTTAAAATAAGAGAAAAAGCTCTGCCGACGAATCATCCTGATTTGGCTACTTCCTACGACAGTATCGGTATAGTGTATAACAATATGGGTAACTACTCGAAAGCACTTGAATTTTACGGAAAAGCACTTAAAATCAACGAAAAAGCTCTACCTCCGAATAATCCTTCATTAGCCACTTCCTACAACAACATCGGTGGAGTGTACGACAACATGGGTAACTACTCGAAAGCACTTGAATTTTACGAACAAACACTTCAAATCGACGAAAATGTTCTGCCTCCGAACCATCCTTCATTGGCCACTTCCTACAACAACATCGGTGGAGTGTACGACAACATGGGTAACTACTCGAAAGCACTTGAGTTTTACGAAAAAACACTTAAAATCTTCGAAAATGTTCTGCCTCCAAATCATCCTTCATTGGCCACTTCCTACAACAACATCGGTGGAGTGTATAACAACATGGGTACCTACTCGAAAGCACTTGAGTTTTACGAAAAAACACTTAAAACCTTCGAAAAAGCTCTGCCTCCGAATCATCCTTCATTGGCTTTTTCCTACAACAACATCGGTACAACGTATTATAACATGGGTAACTACTCGAAGGCACTTTCTTTTCTGGAAAAGGCACTTACTATAGCACAAAAATCATTTCCACCAACACATCCTCGAATTAAGATAATGATAGGTAACATTAACCATTTAAAAAAAATATGAATTTGTTCTCTTTTTGTTTGCTCAATAAATTCGATTTTATTTCTAATCGTACTATCTGGCTTTCCTCAGCTCTTTATCGCGCACTTACATGCGCGGGTAGGATGATTCCCAGCGGACCTGATAGGGTAGAAGCGAAGAGGACTTTGCCGAACTGGTGCGACACTCTCATTAGGTATGATATACACAATAGAGGATAGGCATTATACGAACACAGTGACTTTGTGAGTACTAAACTGCTTTGAACTCTCAGAAATGGAGGATATCCCTTCTGTGGGAACGAAGCCACCTGAAGAGCTGCGGTAAACAACAAAAATAGATGTTGCCCATACGAGGACATTACTATAACAAAAAGAACAAAGGGTTAACTCGTGATTAAATTTCTCTACTGCCTAGATATTAGTAATTTATGCTAATAGACAAAGCACCCAACTTTTCAATAGCGACTAAAATCAATCTCACTAGTACCGCATCTCAACTACTCATGCTACCAAACACCCACTAATGTCCACTTTGTATGATTAATAGAAAAAATACACTTTCATCAAAGGCGATCAAATCGACCTTTACCACACTAACACCCACACACGCTCATGATCTATCTCTTGATCCGAATATGTATCATCTTGGAATCACTTTTTTTAATAATTTTTCTTCCTGAAAACGTCAAAACAGTCATCAAAAACAAAAAGAAATTCGCTTAACACTCAATATCATCACATTAAATGCCAATTGCATCCAACTTATATTTATTGACATCCGCAAAAATATTCAATTAACTTGTCTCTGAATATAATTGAAATAAATTTCGTAATGTATTTATAGTAAATGTGTCCTTAAATACCTGAAAAATATCTAAAAATGAGGGAAAATGATTAAAACAAGGAATAAAAGAGCTGAAATACACAACAGCATCTGTTTGGATTTTGAAAACATGTTATTTGCACCCATTTTGCATCGACAAACATCAAGAAAAAGATAGAATTCACTTCAAGTCATACAGCACGACATACCTCTTTACCACCATCTTCTCGAAAATACTGATATAGATCGAGTAATACATAGTTAAATTGTATTTACATGCGATTGAAATCTACTTAGATCATACCAAAAGCAGTGACCGCCCCATCTTAATTGCTTATAGTCTGGTCAAAAACAAATTTCTTTTTTTATGAACAGATAGAGCATCTTTTGCTCTATCTTTCTATACTAAATGATCACTATTCAATTGATATAATTTATAAAAATTTCCAGAGAAACTTATTTTTGTGGAAGTCCAGCTGGTGCCAGTAGTGCATATTATCATTCATACATGTTGTCTTTTC